GTCAGTAAGTGAGACAACTGAGCCTTGGAACATCCACAAGCCAAATCTAAGCGCTGTTGTCAAAGTTAAGTTGAAACTGGTGAACCGAACTTCCGTTTCACACTATGAAACATTATAACCATGTAACACATTCGATTATTTAAAAAAATCTAATTAGTGCACCTGTGACAGTCTTCACTATCCTACCAGGGACTGCGTTTGCGTTTGTGCAGCTGAATCAATCAGAATTGATCTTAAAAAACATTAGCAACAAAAAAAAAAAAAAAAACGGTAATACCATGTAGTCAACGTTTGAGTTAACGATGAAACAATCATAATTCGTCCCTCCCTGCAATATATTCTCTATTTAATTCATTAACTTAGATATCTCGAATCAATTCAGAGAATATATAGAAAATTAGAATAGATATATTCGTTTAAGAAATTTTGCAGCGGTTTATAAATTTTTAATTTCTGATCGAAAATATCTCGGACCGAATTCGAAAAAAAATTTTTTATTTTAAATTCTATGTCCATAGAATTCGCAATTATTTTTATTATATTTTGTATATGATAAACATTGATTTTTACTGGATCCTGATATAATAATAAAAAATTGTTCGCGTACTGTTCCTTATTTATTTAGCTATAACAACGACTAGTGTTGGTCAAATCGTTTCAGCCAAAATTTGCTGATCAATGATCAGATCCAAGAATATCTGGTCAAATTGGTGACCTATTAAATAGGTTTGTTACACAAATATAATAATACAGTATATTCAGTATACGTATAAATATAATAATACAGTATATTCAGTATATAAATATAATAATACAGTATATTCAGTATATAATAAATTATCGTTATATATATGGACCAGACCGGCCAAATTGGTCAGGACCATTGACCAGTCTGTGCCAACCTTGACAAGGGAACTTTTTTAGACCTAATCAGGAACAGTATACGAATAATAATTGTCGCGGACTAATGGTAAAATTGTATCTATTTTAATATGAAATTTTAAATATAGAATTCAGGGTTAAGTTATTTAGAAAAGAGTATAAGTAGATTTAGTAAGATTTAACATATTTTTAAAAAAGAGACCCACCGATAATCCGCGACAATCAGGCTGATCGATTATAACTTAGATTTCTCAAATTTTTAATTAACGTTATTAATAATTAAAATAAGGGGGGGGGGGGGTCATATTCCGAAATTTCCGAATTCGGCTGGTACGTAAATAAGTAGCACATATTTAACGTATAAAAAAATTAACCAAACAATTACATATTTCTTTCTACGTATCGATATCATATAAGCTCCTAAAAGAAAAAAAAAGGATGTCACAATTTATTGATATGATTGATAAGGCTCAATTAGATTTTCGACAAATGATAATTTCATTAATCTTTGTAATATTATTACTTGTTATTGCATTTATTGCTTCAACTATTTTTCTACCATCATCACAAAATAATGTAATAAAAAAAGGAGTTTTCA